TATCTTATGTCCCATATCTTCATCAGCGGCTTTCTTGCAAAAAAATGGCGTCTATTTACAAATGCGAAATTTGCAAAAAGAACATTTTATCTACCAGTAAAATTCAAGAGTGGCATGATTGGTGTCTGAAAAAGATTTGGCACCCCTAGCTTCCAAATAAATGTATTGCACACAAAATTTTATTTGAGGATTATATACAATACAATATTATTTTACATTTGTACCCAGCGTATGTTTTGAAAAAGGTTTGTTTTATGCATCATATAATTTTTAAAAGAACAAGTCAACTTTAATTTTACACCTTGTGAACATACACAAGATGTTATCAACATTTTAAATGAATTTTTAATTTTTTGTATTTTTAACTGGACAAATGGTGTAAATAGGATTCTTAATGTAAAGATGTCCCCACCAAATGTCATAACGATCCTATTTACATTTAGGCTCATAGCTTACAAAAAAAAAGGAAATTATAAAGGTACATATGAACTTATTATTATACAGGGTGATTCAAAAAACCGCTGACAGACTTCTAGAATAGATAATACAAGAAAAATTAAGATGAATAGTCTTAATATACATGGAGTCGGAAATGCCTCGTTGGCGAGATATAGCGGATCAAAGTTTCTTTAAAATTAAACATTATCTGCAATAAAAAGCACTTTTTTAAAAATATTGCCTACGCCATTGCTCTCTACGCGTGTAAAGTGATCAATTATCTATCAATTGGTCTCTTACAAAACTTTGACCAAAGAAAAACACGTTTGTAGAAAATTTGTTAATTTAATCAAAAACTGTTGCTTAAATCAAAGTTTTGTAAGAGACCAATTGATAGATAATTGATCACTTTACACGAAAATACTGCCCGTTTGACAAAATTAGTAGTGGAGTTGAAAATATTTTTAAAAAAGGGCTTTTTATTGCAGATAATGTTTAATTTTAAAGAAACTTTGACCCGCTATATCTCGTTAAGGAGGCATTTGCGACCCCATGTATTCATATCGACCAATGTAACACACTACTTATCAGAAAATAACATTAGTATAATCAACTGTGAAAAATTAGACATAAAGACGACTACCATAGCGGCATTCAAAATAAATGTGTATGAAGATACATATGAGAAATTGTTTAACCCGGAGTTGTGGCCAAGGAATGTTATTATTCGTCCGTATAGGCTGCGAAATTTTACGAAACATCGTCTGAATCAGGCGAACACGTAATAGTAAAGCCATCTGTAACGGTCAATAGAAAATGTTTTTCAGTAATTCATCAAAATGTACAATGTATAAGAAATAAAACAGATGATTTAGCGGTATTTTTAAAAAGCTTAAGGTCATCTATAGAAATAGTAATTGTGAAGACTTCCATATCGATGGCTACGATCGGGCGTCGTGTTTCAGTAGAAGTCAACGCCAACATGGAGGCTCATGCATTTTAATCAAAAAGGGACTAGAACACGAAGAACTGATTCCCTTGAAAAATCTTAGCAAGGAATTGGTTTTTAAATGCAGTGCCATAAAAATCGTGTCAATTAAGTTAGTGGTACTCTGTATATACAGATCGCCATTGAGTGATGTAAATGAGTTTTTTGACTTGCTGGATGTGATGTTGTGTCATTCGATAATAGGATTAACTTACTCTGTTCTTATATGTGGAGACTTAAATATAAATCTGGCAGAAACTACAACTCTATCCAGAAAGCTAATAGAAACGATGATCAAATACAATTTTTGTCCCACAATTAAGGAACCAACCAGAGTGGCAAAGAAATCGAGAATTGTAATCGATAATATCTTTATGAATATTGAAGATTATAAAACAGAAGTCATAGACTCGGCTCTATCTGATCACAGGGCTTTGATGTTCGAGTACACTCCAGTCGCGACAATGGGTAAAGAAAGACAAATGAAAATGAAATATAAAATAATTAATAGAAACAATATGGAAGAAATAAAAAATGAATTATGTCTTGTGAATTGGTCAATTATCAATTATCACGGACATTGATCAACCTGATGAATGTTATGATAAATTTTGTAACATATTAACATCTATTGTCACTAATTGTAAGTGTTGTAAAGAGAAGGTTGTTGTATTAAACAATAATAAAAAAAGTAACGATTGAATAACAGAAGAAATAAAGGAAAAATCGGCAATAAAAAGACAACTTTATCAAGGAATTGTAAGTAATAGAATAGAAAAACAATTCCATAATAAGTCCTTTTGTACAGACTTAAAAAATTTGATTAATGACACAAAAAAACAATTGTATTGCAATAAAATTAATGAGTCTCACAATAAAATGAAAACCATGCGGAATTTCGTAAACGAAGTAAGAGGGAAAACAACACAAAGACACTTTAATGTGGGAACATTTATGAATGATTTTGACAGTGAAGTGGACGTATTGAATGCTATCAATAAGCATTTTGTATCAATTAATGAAAGTGATATTGATAAAAAGAGGCAAAAAGTACAACTAATGTCTAAGGCGACACATTCGTCGTTTGCTATATATTTGACCAACAGTGAGGAGGTAGAATACACTATTAAGGGTCTTAACAATACAAAAGCTGTCCAAGCCCCTTGCGCATATAATAAATATTTCTTTTACAAAGGGAATATTTCCTAAGAATTTAAAGCTGACGATCATTAAACCGATGTTCAAGAAAAATGCAGTAAATGATTTTTCAAATTACAGACCTATTGCACTTATATCAAATATTGCTAAAATTATAGAGAAGATGGTTTTTAATAGGGTAATGAATTATCTAACTAAACATAAATTGCTAAATAACTCACAAAATGGTTACATTAAGGGAAGAACCACAACAAGAGCGATGTTCCAACTTATAGAAAATATTATAGAAAACTTAAATAGGAAAGATATAACATGCTGCTTGTTTATGGATTTAACTAGGGCATTTGACTGCATACATCATGAAACATTGATCGCTAAACTGGAGAATATGGGTATTAGGGGAACACCTTTGGACTTTTTTGTTTCATATTTGTCTGAGAGATATCAGTGTGTTGCATCGCGGGATGACCATGATAAAGAAATTAGATCGGAGTGGACGAAGGTTAAGAGTGGTGTGCCTCAGGGCTCGATATTAGATAACTGACGACCTGCTTATTCTCTTTGCTGATGATTCCACGTTGGTAGTGAGTGAAAAAGAGCGGGAGACAATAATTCATTCATTGAAAAACAATCTATGTAAACTAGGTGCGTGGTTTGAAGACAATAATCTGACAATGAACACAGGTAAAACTAATACTCTGACATTTGAAAGTGATCCGATTCACATCGCGTTTGAAAAGGAAAGCTTGTTACCCGTGAGTGCTTTTAAGTTTCTCAGACTGAAGATCGACGTGGGTCTCTTTTGGAAGTTGCATATAGAGGAGCTAGCTATCGTCAAAATTTTCGGGTATATGTTAACTCGTCTGCAAACTCGTCATTGCGCGCCTATTACGCGTGTGCGGGGACTAAAATACGCTATGGTGTCATTTTTTAGGGCAACTCAGTTGAGGCCAAGCGTGTATTTGTCATCCAAAAGTCCTGCGTAAGAGCGGTACTGGGTATGAGTCCACGAGACAGTTGTAAATCTGCATTTAAACAATACAAAATTTTAACTTTGTGGGCGTTATATGTGCTAGAATGTGTAATTTTTGTAAAAACTTATTATAGTGAATTCTTTTTAAGATACGAAATGATTCATTCACACCAAACGAGAGGAATAAAGAAAGTACCTTTTGTGCCATCATACACTAACAGCGCAAGGTTGCAGAATAGTGTTCTTTTCTCTTGCATCCAAATTTATAACAACTTGGATCTTAGTGTTAAGAAACTACCATTACACCAATTGAAAAGGAAACTGAAGGGGTACTTGCTTGAGAAAACTTTGTATAACTTAGATGATTTTTTTAAAGAGAAAGTAGTATTATGATTTTGACTGAATTATTGTATTTGACTTGTTCCACACCTTTTGGTATTATGTGAATTAATAAAAGATTATTATTATTATTAAGACTTTTCATCTTAATTTTTGGTGTATTACCTGCCATAGAAGTCTCTCAGCGGTTTTTTGAATCACCCTGTATATTATTATTGTTCTTTTACCTTATACTAACTATGCATGCTTTTTCTTATAATTATTATTTGTATTGTGTTGAATAATATTTTTTTACTTACTATGGTGTATTATTTTTTTAATTTTACTAATACCCAAATATGTTCCAACACCTTCAGTATTACTTAATATATTTAATATATACTCAGTAAACTTAAAATTGATACTACTTACTACCTATTAAATGTATTAAAATAAGTCGAATTAATTAATAACTGAAAAAAAATGTTAACTTCTGTTTTATTATATTTGTACTTATAAAACTGATACACAGTGAGAAAAATGCTGTGAAATTTACAGCTAAGTAAAATTAAAATCTATTATACTTATGTTTTGCTATGATTTTCAAAAAAAAATCTTATAAGTACAACAGATTCATTATAGCTTTACAGTAATATAACTAAATTTCACAGCATTCTTGGTGTACATTAGAAAATACTTGTAGATGTCATTTAAAAATAGCGCTGCATATAAAATGAATTAGTTGGGGGATATGTGCCAATAGATAGGGTAAAAACGCCGAGCCAGCACTTTTTTAACAATTACCTGTCTACAGTAGTTATCTATGGCTATACCTATTATTATTCAACTATCTCACTTCAATGATTTATTGTCACACTTCTGCACAACTGACTGGCCAAAATAGATTTGCCAAGTTATAAGTTACTTAATGATTGTTTATTTGATAGATTAAAAAACTCAATATATTTAGTAATAATTGCCCAGGTAAAAGTTAATTAAGATTAAGATCCAGGGTCTGAAGAGGTTATCACCTTCCAATGGGGATTTTTAAGTTAATTAGAGCTCCAAAATAACCTCAAAATTCCATTAAATGTAGTTAAAAATATATATGTTTTATAACATTACCTGATTTAGCAACAACTTTTCCCCCACAACTTTGTATCCTCGACATTTCATTAGCACACTCTGGTTTATGATCCCTCGTCAAAGGTTTAGCCTTCCATTCAGAACATCCTGGCTCATTGTACCCTAACACAATAGCAGAATCGCCAACATGACCAACATAAATTTTTCCTCGTCGTATAAACGCTATACTAGCTGTGGTTCCCGCCGTACTCGGTAATCCCGATGCAGTCCTCGGCCAATTCTCTACAAAAAAAAGCTTTTTTTAATCCTTAATTGATTAATTATAACATCATAATAATTAACAAACTTGTTAAATTCTTAAATACATTTTTAAAATTTTGTTTGACAGGTTAAAATATCAACATAACCTAAAAAATAACAAAAAAACAAATTTGTTAATACATTTATCAAACATACCTTGTTCTTTCCACATTGCATAATGAGTCGCTAAATATCCCATTTTAATAGCTCTCAAAACATCCTCGTCATTATCGGACCAAAAATTCCTGTGTCTTACAATAGTTTCCATGAGACGTTCCTTGGCGAATTCGGCCGCTTCGGCCCCGCCGTGACCATCGTAAATACCAAAAAACGCGTACTCCAAATCTCTCTCATCCTCCGTTTGTTGATAAGCAACCGAAAAGAAGTCTTCCATGTACTTACGACCTCCCTGTCTGCAATGGCCCGTAACTCGCAAATTTACGCCGATCGAAGCCGGCATTTTTCGTCAAATCAAAACCGCAATTCGAAGTTATAAAAAGTGATTATATCGCATTTTATTGGGTTGTTTTGGTGCGAATAAAGACTGTTTTCGTGTTTGGACAAGAATCAACTGTCAATTTTGGCAATTACTAATCGTGTCAATGGCTAAGATGTACGTTACCGACGCGCGGGATATTATCTTTTCTTTAATACAAGTTAATTTAGTCGTTTTTCGTGTTTAAATCAAACAATTTATGTTTTGTGATTAATTTTGGGGGTGTTTTTATAAAATTAGATTGAGAATCGTTTGATTTTTCTTTGCGGGGGTTATCGAGACGGTACGTCGTAACTTACAAGTATTACATGTCACAAATAAACGCGTCGGGATGATGCGTCATCTATTGGGAGAAATTAAATCATAGATTATTTAATAAAATTGGTAATTAATTAAATTGTACCTTTATTTATTTGTATTGTGTGCGTAATAATGTAGGAGGGGTTTCACAATTATTATTATTTATTAATTAATTTATTTAATTGATATTGTAATGTGGAATTTTGTAGTTGCTTAAAGGTAATGGAGGTGGCGCTGGTGCGAAAATAATTTATTTTTTATTATAGATTACGTTGGTTAATGTTGTAGGATAATTTTGAAACAAGAAATTTATGTTTTATTAAATATTTTGAGGGTGATTTAATTATGTTTCATTTTGTGCAGATATTTTTAATAAATATTTTTTAATTGGTGATTTAGTTAAGAGATGGCGCTTAATTTAATTTATTATTTTTCTTTTAAATTATCGACTAAAATTGTTGTTTAGTAAAGTTATAATTATTGTTATGTTTTTAAATCGAGTTTTAAATAAAAATAATAATAATTGTTATAAAAATAATAAAAAAAGTGCGTAGGTGAAAGGGGCGAATAAACCCGAAGTTGGCGATTCGTGTATTATCGCTGTTGCTATGCGCGTTCTGATTGGTCGTTTCCGTGACGACCGTTCGATAAACGCCGGAAAGAGAAGGCGTCCATTTGTGATCTCGACGCAGAAGAGACAAGTCGGTAGAAAAATGAGAGATGCGTAATTAAAAATATAATCTCGGAAAAATTTAATTTCCGCCTGTCCGAAAACGAAAAACCGAAAAAACATACGACAGGGCCAGGTTTTTAAAACAGTGAATGAGTGACTCTTATGCCATTTCATACATTTTCCTGCCTAGTGAGACTATAATTAGGCGCCAGATAAAATGGCCCTATGTGAAAGGTTTGCATTATTTTTACACGCCACGGAAGCGGTTTTTTTCTCGAGGCCAGAAATAATTCAAATCGCGCCCCAAAAAGGATCCTCGAAACGAGCCTCAAACTTTTTCGGCCCCAAAGTTCGGCCATTTTTTTTCGATGACGTAAACGTCATTTTCGTTGTTGATGACGCGACCTTTTTTTGACCTCAATTTCTAGTATTTTGCAAGAAGGAGGCGCAAATTTGTGTTTATTTCTAGCCCCGAAGGAAACTAAACCCCCAAATTTCAACTCCGATCTATTTATTACTATTTATTTATTATCTATTTATTTTTGTGTCGACAAAATGGCCGCCATCATGCATAACGAGCCAAACATTCTATTTTCGTTCTTGTTTATTTTTATCGAATTATTATTATTATTATTTTTTTGTAGCGTAAGGGAATCCCCGATTTTAAACGTGGGGTACACAATTTTTGTGTTAAATCGCATTTTTTGTGAATGATCCGCTTGGAAACAAAAGAATACGTCATCGATTGCAAAGCGGTGCCCCTATGTGTTACGATTTGAACTAAAATTTTTTGGCGGGCCTTTTAAATTTTTTTTATTTCGAAGATTAAACTTAAAATATCAGATACAAGATTTACGATGGGGTTCAATGATTTTACACGAATCTAATTTAATTATTAATAGATTTATTTTTTAGAAAAAACCCGATATTAAAAAAAATTTAAGATTTGTGATAGATTTGAGGATAACTTAACCTCACTTTTGGTGAAGTTGATGAAATAAATAAATTTTGATGATTAAGAACATTGGTTCAAGGCAAACAGATAAAAATTAATTGAAAAGTAAACAAATTTATCTTATTTGAGTTTTGCCATAAATATTTACATATTTTGAAGGATTTTTCCTCAAATTTGAAATCAATACAAATGATTATATTATTCGCTTCAATTTTAGCGAAGATCATAAACCCGAGCCGGGTCAAATCCCCAATGATGATCTTGAAGATGGTGAAATCGAAGACGACGATGACGATACGCCAGCTCCAGCTTCTGAAGCAGCCCCAAAAGAACCACCTTCAACCCCCCCAAAACCCCAACAAACCCCACCACAAGAAACGAACGTTTCAAAGCAACACGAAAAGTCCGATCGTTCGAAAGAACGACGTCGACATCAAGAATCAAAGGGGAAAAAGCAACAACCGATGACCGAAGCCGAAAAAAGCGTCATGTACCTACACCAATTAGAAAGATTGGAACGAGATAAACGCGAAAAATACCGGCGAGAACCAGTCGATGATTTCGCCTCAAATCTCGAAAAACAAATTGCGAGTGTATTAAAAAAAGATCACCGCCTTAGTGGCGACGATGATCACGATGAGAAACGCGGAAAAAAACGAAGAAAACGAGAAAGGGATCGAAGAAAACGTCGAAAAATGGGTGCTGTTGATGCAGGTGGTGAAAACGTCGAAATGGATGTTGGGATGGAAAATTTAGGAGTAGTACAACACGGTGGGAGCGATATTGATTATCATCAATCACCTAGAAGCGATGTCGAATCGTTTAGTGATGATCAAGAATCGATTTGTTCCGATAGAAGTGGAGGAGTTGGTGAGGAGAAAGGAAGGAGACCGAGGAGGGATCGAAGGGGGAGGATGCGGGAGAGGAATCGAAATCGCAGGAACGAACATCGCGAGAAAAAATTGCAACAGCAACAAAATCAACAGCAGCTACAACAACAACAGGATAATTCGGCGAATAAAGATCCATCGCAGCTTTGCATGTATTATTTGCAAGGGAAATGCCAAAAAGTTAGTATTGGATGTTTCAAAACGATTTATTTTTATTACTTTTTGTTTTAATTGCTTTTTGTTGTAGGCGAATGGTTGTTTTAAGAATTTGATTTTAATCGATTTTAAAATCCTCATAATTAAAGCCTCATAATGAGTCTTAGTACTTTAGGTATACCTTGAATATGTTCAAATAGCACTCAATGGACTCTTAATCAATCAATATCATGTTTAATATTGCTAAAGATTATCTATATCTTCTAAAATCGTCTAAATTTGTGAACTATTTTGTTGAAGTCATTCCTGATTTTTCATGGTAATCTGTCATCCCTTCAACACCATCCTAGCTTGGTTGTCCTTGACCAATTTACCATTTGACCCCACTTACCATCTATTGATCTACCCAGTGCCAGCTTTAGGCTTCAGAGCGCCCAGGGCAAGATATTTTTTGGAACACTTTATTTATTACTGTTGTACAGGTGGGCCAAATTGGGCACTTTTAAAGGAAAACTACTATTTCTATAAGGGATAGAGGAAAGCTGATGTCAGTGTCTGAGGCACGATTTTTATAAGAAACTTAATGCGAAAATCGCAAATCGATATCTCTTACGGTTTCAGAGATACAGGGTGTTTATCAAAAAAATGCATTTTCGAAAAGTCGTCATAACTTTTTTCTTATTGATAAATCTTCCTTTCTGCGAAAACAACCAAAACAACTTTTTATGTAGAATTCGATGGAATAAGTTATCTTCTTCTCAAAGCAATATTTTAGCAGTTGACATAAAAATGATTTTTTTAAATAGAACACCTATATATTTTTGCAAATTCGACGAGAGCATAAAATTTCTAGAGTTGGGACCGAAGCCGAATAATTATTCGCTATTCGGCGTATTCGGCCTCATTTTTAGTATTCGGCTATTCGGCCGAATATTTGGCAATTCCGCCGAATATTGAGTTTAATGTGTAGACGTTTTAAATTTTAATAAACCTTCAGGTGCAGATCACAATAGGTTTACGAAACAAAACACATGATAATTTACTCATCAGATAAACTTTATTTGATAAAAAAGATCAATAATCATAATTAATTAACGGCAAGTTTTCGTGCAAAAATACTAAATGGGCAGCAATTCTTTTTTTTCATATAAGTTCTCTGCTTCTGAAAACAGTCGCTCACTGAAAATTGTGGTTGATGGAGCGGATAAATACACTTTTGCAAGACAACTCATTTTAGAATATTTGAAACTGTTTGTTTTCCACCAAACAAATGGATCTTCATCTCGTTTTAAGAGTTCTCCGGATAAATAACTGTCCAGTTCACTTGCTATCCTATTTCTTGGATTGAAGTCTTTAACGGCCTTACTAGACGAAGCTATGTCTTTATAGCAGTCCCAGAAAATATCATGACTTCTATTGATCCCACTTGTTGAAGGTAACTTCATCGTTATCTCTATCATCGCTACTGCTGCTCTCTGAATTAAATTCCCTTTGAAGCGTAACTTACCAAATAAGTAGTAACGAAATTTTTCGTATACTCACAAGTTCAGACATGTACGGCGATTAATGCAAATATAACCAAGATAGAACTCGGGGAAGTACCGACTTCGAGTTCGATTATCGAGATTTGAGAAATATTCGGTTAGGCCGAATATTCGGCCGAATATACGATTCAAATGTCGGCCGATATTCGGTATTCGGATATTCGGCTAAACTACTATTCGTCACATCACTAAAAATTTCCTTTCCAAAAATATAGCGCACTTGATAATTCGTTCAAGTCTTCTTTGAAATATACAATTTTAAAACTTATATGTGCAGATTTTTAAAAAAATAGGCTTTGGAAATAAAAGAAAAACGAGACTATATTTATAAATAGGATCAAGATGGTTAGTTACAATGAATTAAAACATAAATTCATAAACAAGAAGCAGATTAAATTAATAAAACTTATTTTAAGACAAGAATAAATATATAGCAACAAAAAATAACAACAAAAGTAAATCCGTTTTTTTATAGAAAATGTTTAAAATGTCCCCAAAATGGTTTTTAGCCCTTTTTACCGAGTTAATAAGCTCAATGGGCCTAAGTGTTGCAAAAGCGTTCACAACTGTGTCTTCTAATTGTTGTCGGGAATTTATTGGCTTTTTATAGATAATATCTTTCAATCTTCCTCAAAGGAAAAAATCCCCAAAAAAGCCCAACGAATAGAAGTGAGGCGGTGCACCATCATGTTGAAAAAATACATTTCGCAAATGTGCTAGAGGTAACAACAGGTTCGATTTGTTGCCTAAATATCGTCAAACTTTGTCATATTTTCCCAACAATCATTGGCAAAAATTCATGCGCCGTTCAAAATCTCCTGGTCTGAGGTAATGGTCTTTGCTACTTCTGTATGGCTTAAGTGTGAATTTTTTCAAAATCCGCCTAGCTTTGGTTCTTGGAATTCCCGTGGTTACACTGAATTGCCGCGTTGATATCTGTGAATTATTTTCCATTGCCCCTAAAACTACTACTTCTTCTAATTCCCCGTTTTCATTCGGTGTATAAGTTTTTGATCTTTTCTTTTCGAATTAATCACTAGTTTGTAGATCATATCACAAGCTTCTAAAAATATCATTAAAAGGTTGCCGCCTCTCTGGCTATCGTTCATGATATAAATTTCCTGCAGCCTCTGCATTCTCTCCAGATTGTATTAAACAAACTATCATGCCCAATTCTCATAATTTTTATATGAAAAAATTTGGAAAGTTGATGACAACTAAGTAGTATTCTAACAATACTTGAATCAAAATTTGACAGATAGATACTCATAAACAATGCATTTGTTTTATCGAAGTGCCGCCAAAGCCAATGCACTAGTACGGAATTGGAAATCTTAAAAGTTTCCAAGTTGTATATTGCAAAGAAGACTTGAACGAGGTATCAAGTGTGCTATATTTTTGCAAAAGAAATGTTATGCTCTCGTCGAATTTGCAAAAATAAATAGGGTGTTCCGTTTAAAAAAATTATTTTTATGTCAATAACTACTAAAATATTGCTTTGCGGGAAAGCTAACTTATTCCATCGAATTCTACATAAAAAGTTGTTTCGGAAATGTTTTGACAGAAAGGAAGATTTATCGATAAGAAAAAAGTTATGACGACTTTTCGAAAATGCACTTTTTTGAAAATACTCTGTATCTCTGAAACCGTAAGAGATATCGATATGCAGTTTTCACCATTAAGTTTCTTATAAAAATCGATCAGACACTCATATCATTTTCCTCCATCTCTTATAGAAAGAGGAGTTTTCCTTTAAAAGTGTCCAATTTGGCCCACCCTGTACTTAACTTGTTTTATGACCAATAGGTACTACTACTAACAATTTTTCCAAACACAATTTTTGTACAAACAGAAAAATATATCCCAGCGGTTCAAATTTGTTGATATCAAAGAATGGAAACTAAAATATGTGAATTCTTTAATAATTTATTATTAAATTAAAAATCAATATTTATACCGATATGATTGACCTCATGATCTATACCAGTCTACCACATTTAACTTTTCTAGCTTTTCTATCGGAAAATTCTTTAATTAAAGTAGAGCAATCAAGATTTTCTGCAATTTCATTTTCGATAGGTAGTCTTGTTTGCGATATTGTTGATCTTAAGTAGGTCTTTATTAATTTTTATATGGAAAAACTGCGTTCTCCAGTTGCAACTATTACTGGTATTGCTAGCATAATACGCAAAGTTATCCAGATGTTAGAAAACAACTCTTGAAAGCACTCACCTTTTTGATAAAATTCAAAACGTTGGTAAGGTTCTGGTTGTCTTTCTTGCAGACTCAATTTCGTCGCATAATGAGTCTCCATTAATATCCGATTTAGAGTTGAATGCTAGTTTCTTTTTGCGGTGCAGAACAATCATTCAACAGATCTTTATTTTCATTATCGTTTATGTCAAACAAAAATGCCAAGTTTCAGAAAAATCTTTAAGTTGACTAAATCTTTGTTTTAAAGAATTGTACTTCAAAAATTTTTTTGGGGTCATTTATTTACGAGACACTTAATGCGTTTTAGTCGCTTTTGGGGTTTAAAAATTGGCTACACATGTAGTTCTGACGCCATTTCAGTTGCTTTTATAACAGCTTGTTCGAAACCTATTTGTCGGTAATTTTGAGCAACATTTTTTAAACATTTCTGTAAATTCGATTCGAGATTCCCAGCGAGTATCGCTTAATTTTTTAAAGGTTTAGATTTTCAGATGCTCCCTTAAAATTTTCCATCTATTTGCTGATGCGGCAAATAATGTAAATATTTTTTAACATCGGTATTTAAAGATACCGATGTTGTCGATGATTTTGCGGCATCACACAGGACTAAATTATAATTGTGCCATCCACATTTGTACAAAGAAAGTACAAAGGTCTGTCAGTGCACCTTAATGTTAGGGACAGTTGCTCTTTATGGCTTATATCAGGAGTACAGTCAGCTATGATTACAAAATTCTTTGAATTCTTTATGTAGTATTGATATATATATATAGTATGATATGATATGGTATGATATATATATAAGTAGTATGATAGTATTGTGGATTTAACTTGCGATGCCATTAATTCTATCAGTTCATTTTGCATATTTTTGCCACAATAATGGTCAGTCAACTCACCATTTATTGCTAATTTGACATGCTCCTCTATGATAGGGTCAAATTTTGCCAATAATTATATGAGCCCTAGAAATTTTTCATTATTTATCAGTAAGTATTTTATCAGAAGATCCTCTGAAAGCTATATTATTTTCAGCCAAATATAATGTAATGTGCATCAATCGTTCCAGCGTAAACTTTTCTTTGAAATTAATATTTGTGTTTCTTTCTCAATAGTTGATCCAGTTTTTAATCTAATTTCAGCTTCAATCCATTGGTTGAGCGCTTTTTTGCGAACAGGACTATTTCGTGCATTCTTAAAGCATCATTTAAATGTTTCCATTTTTTGAAACCTCCGCTGGCAGCTAAATTAGAAGCTGAATTCAGGTAAAATAATCGACAACAAATGCAAATGCAATTGCTCGGTACTGAATAAACTAACCACCGATGTTGGATAGTTTCTTCATTTAAAAGTTTTATTGAGTAATAATTTACTGAAAAATGGCGTCCATATTCATCCTTGGGAAATTCTCTCAAGTGAATTATGACATTATAATGTGATCTCTCATGCTTCTAGTCAGTACTTTCGGCCATGTAGATATATTGTAATTCTGGACTTGATTCTCAGGTGACTCAGATCCAGTCACGCTGGAAAACTGCTCATGTGATAGTTCAGATTCTTGTGCTTGGTCTAATTGTTTAGAACCAGAAGAAATATTAACCAATACTTCGATTTCGGGTTCAATTGTGAAAATTTTGACTTCTGAGTCTACAGTTGAAGCACAACTTGCTTTCCATGATGACATCTGACAAAGAAATTATCTAGCCTTAATTTAATGAAGAAACTTGTTATTTTAACTTACGATTTCAACAAAATGTCACGTTTCTTGTCACCACTAACCACTACTTTGATTTGAAACGCAGTTAGTTTCGCCATGTGTTGCTTATCTAGCAACAAAATCCAGCGAAAATCGATCGACATTACATCTTTTCGTAAAATTACGAAAAGTAACTGGATTCATTGAAACTTAACGCAACTACAAAAGAAAACAGTAAAAAATGGGAGCATTTCAAAAAGAGAATTAATTCTCTTTTTGAAATACGTTTATTTTACCGTCTTTTACGTTATTAACTACTTAATAGATTCGCGAATTTTCTGGACCTACCCACAAGTCTGGTCCATCCCCATTTTAGCTTTCTCCTTCTCCCTTCTTAGTTATGGATCTGATCTCTCGGGGTCAACCCCAACATGGCTCTGTTTATTTTGCGTTGTGTTAGTAGCAGTTGTTTAACTGATATGTTAGTAAGTGATAATGTTTGTGACACCTTAGCTTTAAAGTTATAGATTAAATAACTTTTATATTTTAAAGATAAGAGGAGTTGGCTCCTTCCGGGAGGGAGATGAAATGTGGAAATGACTGATTTTTTTGCTACAATATGGTGATCAGTTTCAGGTTGCTATGATATTAAATGTAGAGCCTCGGCTTTATCGGATAAGTCTTTTCCAGCTTTAATCAAAGCCAAGGCGCAACAATGTGGTGATCAGTTTCAAGTTGATATAATATTAAATGTAGAACCTCGGCCGTAAGCGACCTCTTCTTTATCTAATAAGATTATTTTCCGCTTTAATCAGTTCAGGTCGATTGCGGCCGAGGCGCAGCAATATAATGATCAGTTCGTGTTAATATCACATTAGCAGTAAAGCCTTGGCCGCGTGTAACCTCGTCTTAATCAGATAAGATCATTTCCTACTTTCATCAAAGTCGAGGTCGCTTGCAGCCGAGGCGCAACAATGTTGTGTTTCGAATTGATATAATATTCACTATAAAGTCTCGGATCGAACCGAAGCGAAGTCGCTTACGGTCGAGGCAGTACAATTAATATCATTTCAATCCAAATACCAACAACATATAGAAAACTTGTCTTTCTTGATTAAGCCGATATGGTATTAATTGTAATGGCTTGGCCGCAAGCGACCTCGGCTTTTTTCTTCTAATTCAAAGGTGATTAACACAATCTACTGCCTCGGTCGCAAGCGACCGCGGCTTTTTTCTTTGAATCCAAAGATAGTTAACACAATCTACTGCCTCGGCTGCAAGCAACCTCGGTTTACTTCTTTGAACCCAAAGGCGGTTAACACAATCTACTGCCTCTGCCGCAATCGACCTCGGCTTTTTTCTTCTAATCCAAAGGTGATTAACACAATCTACTGCCTCGGCCGCAAGCGACCTCGGCTTAGTTCTTTGAATCCAAAAGCAGTTAACACAGTCTACTGCCTCTGCCGCAATCGACCTCTGCCGCAATCGACCTCTGCTTTTTTCTTCTAATCCAAAGGTGATTAACACAATCTACTGCCTCGGTCGCAAGCGATCTCAGCTTTTTTCTTTGAATCCAAAGATAGTTAACAGAATTTACTGGTTCGGTCGTAAGCGACCTCGGCTTTTTTCTTTCAATCCAAAGATAGTTAACACAATCTACTGCATCGGCCGCAATCCGCCTCGGTTTAGTTCTTTAAATCCAAAGGTGGTAACATAATCTACTGCTTCCGCCGTAAGCGTCCTCGGCTTTGTTCTTTGAATCCTAAGATAGTTAACACAATCTACTGCCTCGGCCGCGAGCGACCTCGGCCTAGTTCTTTAAGTAAGGTGGTTAACATAATCTACTGCCTGGGAGGTAAGAAGAGATCACGGCTTTTTTCTTTAAATCCAAAGATAGTTAACACAATCTACTGCCTCGGCTTAATTAGATAACATCATTTCCTGATTTAATCAAAGACAAGGTTGTTCTCTGCCGAGACGCAGCAGTTTCTGGTTGATGTGATATAGTGATATAAGTGATATAACGTCCCTTAAAAGGGACACTATACAATTTTTTTTTCCTATAAAAATTCTTTTTTTATATAATAGATCATAAAATTAAGAAAAATTCAAAAAAAACATTTTAAACTGCATGCACTTATGAGTTAAATGTAGAGGTCGCGATTAGAAAAAAAAAGAAATTCTTAAAATAACCATTTTTCCTGCGACATTTTCATTTAATTATTAAAAATAGAAATAAATTTTATTTTATTATTAATTTTTTTTCATATTTTTCCTTATAGGGCGACGAATGTCAGTATTCGCACGAAAGTCAACCGCCGATGAAATGGGAATTATGCAAGTTCTACTTGAACGATTGTTGCGCGAAAGGTGACAAATGCTTTTATATGCACTCAGATTTTCCATGCAAATTCTACCACACAGGTCAGCAGTGTTTAGAAAGCGACAACTGCAAATTCGCCCACGGAAAACCCCTCAATGAAAGTAAGATTTCCCACAAACCTTATTTCAACAATTTTATTAACTTTATTTTATAGGATTAAAACAAATTCTTTTTAAACACATCGAAACGGCGCCTAAAGACATTTTGGGTCGGTTTCCTCGGATGAGTCGCGAAGAGGCCTCGTTCAAGATTAACCAGACGCAGAAAGAGTTAGAGGCGCATTTTGGCCCGCCGGATGCCGATCCGAACATGTTACCGTTGCCGTTCGACGTCGGGTTGGGTAATAATGGTAATAATAATTCGGACGCGATGCACGACCCGAAAAAGGACAAAGATAAACCGAGGAATCGACCGTCGCGGTGGCAAGATCCCGAACCGGTTAATAGATCAGGAATTGGACAAGCTACTTTTGGTGGGAAAGCATTTGGACAAGATTTAGATATGAGACTGCAACAAAAGTAAGAATTTTAATGATCTGTCAATGTTAGATATTCTTTTATTGTAATCTCAACAACATGATTTCGCTGCTAAATAAGCTCCCCTTTTTGTAGTTTTCGATTTATTATATCTCGAGAATTCCCCTTTCCTTTATTTTGTATTATTTATCAAAAGAAGGTTGTTGTCAGCCGGACTATCTAAGAATTGTCATTTAACTGTCAAATAGTTGTCATTTGAGATGGAGGTCCTTTGTCAGAATTGGCTGCGTTATGTTTTTCGAAAACAACTCCAAATTTTCCTACATGAATCTTCATCCCTACACGATTTTACTGATCCATCCCTAGAAGAGAGAAAAAAAATCAAGACTGTTTTTTGATCAAGATAGTTTGATTTCTCTTCATAGATTGGACAAAAATAACGAGTTATCGTCTTTTTAGCTTCAAATAATTTCAGAAATCGAAAAATTAGTCTTTAAGACGGAAAGTTCAGTTCTGTCAAGTGGAGCTCATGATGAGTATATTTGATGTGGTTCTTTCATACTTTACCTTAATGATTGTCTTCGGTATAGTATCATTTTCGGATTTGGGGCAATAAAAAATTATTAATGTACTGGCAAACTTCTGCTTCCAACCAAAATTACTAGTGTATAGAATAATGTGTTAAAATTTCAGTTCAATCGGTTAAATAGAATTATAGAGTTAAGTGTGCTCAATCACAAATTTTTGAACAAAGTATTCGGTGCCAAAAAGTGCAGATAACACGTGTGTAGACTTCAATAAGTAGTATTGGTCTTCTATAATGATGATTTGGTCTTCCACTGGTAGTATTTTGTCTTCTTCGAGCAGTATCCAACATATTGCTGGTGGTAAGTAGTTTTCTGGTATTGATATCCAGACTTTTGTAAACAGTGTTAGTATTCTATAAGCAAGGTGGAGTCTTCCATTGGTACTATCGTCATCTGCCAGAAGTATCTTCCATTTTATAAGCAGTAAATGGTCTTCCAGCGATGTGTAGTATTCTGCCAGCGATATTTAGTCTTCTGCCAGCACAGTCTAGTCTTCTATAAGGAAAATCTAATCTTCCATAAATAGTTTGGCTTCTATAGAAGGATCTAGATTTTATCAGTAGTATTATTGTCTTCCGCCAGTAGATTCTGGTCTTCTATAAGGAAAATTTAGTCTTCCATTAATACACTACGTGCCAAAAAATTGCAAAACCTTGAAAAAAAATGAGTCACTAAGCTGGAATCTTAACAAAACATTTGGATGTAGAAAGTCGAACGCCCTGAAATCATGTTCCAGCAAGATAACGCCCGACCTCATATCGCCCACATCTATCAGACTTCCTACAGGAAGAAGGAGTAGAAATTCGCCCCTGGCCTGTTCGATCTCCGGATTTAAACCCGATCTAGCATGTATGGGATATTATGAGTCGCTATCTGTATAATGCGTTTACCACAAGCTGCAAACTGCTCGCAGGAACTTCGTCGTCGTCTACATTAAGCCTGGAATGAGATTCCACAAGATATCATTGATCATCTCATTCAGCAGAGCATGTCTCGCAGAGTTTTGACAATCGGGACATATATTGTTGGTATTTTTCAATTGTTATGACTGAAATAAATACAAATTTCTTGTAAAAATTTTAGTTCTTTAGAAGTGTTGCTATTTTTTTGGCACATTGTTTAGTATTACTTCTACCAGAAGCATCTAGATTTCTCTCAGTGGTATTAGGTATTCTACCAGCAACGTTTAGTCTTCTGCCAACAGGATCTAGTCGTCTATAAAAAAGATCTAGTCTTCCATTAATAGTTTCTAAATTGTTGTCAATAGTATTAGGTCTTCGGCCAGCAGAGTCTGGTCTTTTATAAGAAAAATATCGTAATATATCGTCTTCCGTCTGAAGTATCTAGTAGTTTACAAGCAGTAAATGATTTTCCACCAATATTTAGTTTTCTGCGAACAGAGTCTAGTCTTCTATAACTACTACAGTGGTATCTATCCTTCTGCAATTTGTATGTAATCTTCTAGCACAACAATATCAAGTCTTTTATTCACTTCCTTCAAATAGTATCTAATGTTCTGTTAGCTGTATCTGGTTATTTGCTAACAGTATTTAGTATTTTATCAGTGATATTTAGACTTCTATAAACAGTGTTAGTGTTATATAAGTAAGGTGGAGTCTTCCATTGGTAATATATCGTCTGCCACCAGAACTATTTAGCATTTTACAAGCATTAAATGGTAATTTCCAAATAATATTAGTCTTCTGCCAGCAGAGGCTAGTCGTCTATAAGAAAAATGTAGTCTTCCATTAATATTTTAGCTTCTACTAGAAACAACTAGATTTTTGCCGGTGGTATCTATCCTTCTGTCGGTTGTATCTAATCTTCTAGACTAAGTTAGACTATTAACAGTATCTAGTCTATCATTAGCAGTATCTAGTCTTTAATTAACTGTCTGTAGTCGTTTTTAGCAGTATCTAGTCATCCGTTAATAGCATTTAGTTTTCTGCCAGTGATATCTAGACTTCTGGATACAGTACTAGTGTTCTATTAACAAGGTGTGGTCTCCCATTGGTAATATATCGTCTTCCGCAAGAAGTATTTAACATTTTACAAGTAGTAAAATGTTACAAGTAGTAAATGTTGTAGTTCCATTAATACTTTAATTTCTACCAGAATCTAGATTTCTGCTAGTACTATCTATCCTTTTGCTAGTTATATCTAATCTTCTAGCAATGTATGTATAGTCCACTACTAACAGAGTTTAGTTTATCACTAGCAGTATCCAATCTTTTGTTAACATTCTCTGGTCCTCTTCTAGCAGTATCAAACTTTCTGCAAATAGTATTTGATGTGCTGTTAGCAGTATGTAGTCATCTCCTAACAGCATCTAGTTTTCTGTCAGTAGAATTAGGTCTTCCTCCAGTAGTATGAAGTCTTTTGCCAGTAATACTAGATCTTCCGCCAGTACAATTAGGTTTTCTGCTATTAATATTAGTTCTTCTGCTAGCATAATAGGACTTCTGCCAGTAATATTAGCTCTTCTGCCAACAATGTTTTATGTAGTCTATTCTAGATTTATTATAAGCAATTTTTATTCAACTTCAATTGCTTTCAGTTATTGAATTACAATCAAATTTGATGTCAAAAATCGCTCATTTTGCAACTTTGGATTTCCTTTCGACTTTTTCTCTGATGATGGCATATTTCCGAAACTAGTTATTACACTATATGTTAAATAACTTCATAACTTAATATTTCTAAATAAATTTTTATTTTTTTTTAGTAATGGAGATGTAGATATGCGAACATTACAAATGTCGATACCCCAAGGCCCCCCGAATTTGATGATGCCACCGCCGAACCTTTCAATACCACCCCCTAACATATTAATGATGAATCCACCCCCGATAGTGCGCTCCATTGACATTCCACAACAACTTAATTTAAATCAACAATCCCAATTTAACCAAGCTAATCAACAACAAATTTCGCAATTTCAACAAAGCAACTTATCAAATAACAGCGACGTCGACATAAGAAATCTCCGCGGCGACACCGATATAAGAAACTACAACAACGTGATCGAAAGTAGCCCAATTAATATTCAAAAAAATAATACAGAAGAAGATTATAGCACAAAGACACAAAAACGAGACGATTTCAATTCGAGCAAAGACATCGACGACGATTACGAACCAGCCTTAGAAATAATAACGGACGAAGTTCCATCGGAAATCCCCGCAAACCTTCCTAAACGCCAAAGAGAACTTTTCTTAAGAATCCAATCCCAACAGAAACAAAATTTACTCGAAGACCAAAAAGACACGAATTCCGATAACGACGAAAACAACATCGATTGGTATTCGGACGACTCAAACGACGGGAAATTGATGATAAAATGCGACGACGATTTCGTAATCAAAGAAAAAGACGACGAAATCGTGGAAGGAGAGGAGGATAAAGCGAAATCTTCCCCAGGGTTTGGCCAGCTCGGGGATTTATCGCAAATCACGATTTCGGAGGAAGTTTCAAAGTTGTTGAACACGTTTCGTGGTGGTTCTAATTCCGCTCTATCTCCAAATAGGAAAGATGAGAAATCGAAAGATCCAAGACAAGAATCGCCGACGAAATCGGTTAGGGCCGATCCGAGGAAAGCGAGGGTCGATTCAGGGGATGATTCGAAAGTTGTTAGGGATAAAATTAGTATTTATGAGCAAGGGAGTTTTTGCGGGAAAGATGTTGATTTGAGGAGTGGTGATGAAAAAGATACCGATTTAAGGACGAATTTCGGCGATATGGATTTGAGGAGTTCCCGCCCAGACGTTGATCTCCGCCAATTAGGGCTTCCATTTAAAGCGATGCAAAATTATACCCCCGCGACTGAAATCGATGCGAGTTTAAGCACGCACCTTCCAATACAGTGGTTTGTTCATATCGTTGACATCCCAAAGCCTGATTATACCGGGTTAAAACTCACCGTGCAAGACGCTCACACCACCGGGGATCCGCGACTACGAAAAATCTTCCGATTAGATCTCGATGAAAAAGATAGCCCGGCCAGTCCTAAACAAAGTCCAAAAGCCGGGTCTAGTTCTAGCGTCGTTCCGAGAGTCGATCCCAGGATTCGGAAGGAAGAGAAAAACGAGGCGATGAGTTATTCGCAACAAATGGCGATGCTACAAAGCTCGCCGTTTTACCAAAATTTGACTAGTAATCAAAAGGTGAAATTGAATCAGGAGTTGTCGGTGCGCGACCCAAATACGGGAGGGAATAACGAACAAATTTTACAAGGAATTTTGAGTACTTTGGGGTTGGTACAATGTTCGGGGCAAGCTTCGAACATTAACGGGGCCGTTTTGAGTTTGTTGACGAAAACTAATTTAGGAATGATGTTGAATCAAAATATGAATCCTAATTTGAACCCAAATTTAAATCCTAATTTGAATCCGAATATGAATTTGAATCCAAATTTAAATCAGGGTTTGATACAAAATCAGAGTTTGCTTCAAAACCAAAACTTGATGATTCAAAATTCGAGTTTGATACAGAACCCGAATTTAATTCAAAACGCAAATATAAACCCGACTTTACTTCAAAATCAAAGCCTAATTCAAAATCAAAGTTTGTTGCAGAACCCCGCGTTACTCCAAACTTCAAATTTGCTTCAAAACCAGCTCCAAAATCAAACTTTGATATCCCCCCAAAACCCAAATTTGCAATTAAACGTCCAAAACCAATCGAATTTGGGATTATTGGGTCAAAACCCATCGATACCCCACGAGTTTCCCATAAATTTCGACCCGAGAAACGGGGGGTTGTTAGGGAACGCCCCCCCATTTGCTAATTTTAATCCTGATAATAATAATTTTAATTTCGCTGAGGATAATTTTTATCAAGATAATAATTTTGGTGGTGGAAATAGTAATAATAACAATAATAATAATAATAATGGAGGTGGTGGAAATAATAATAATAATAGTAATAATAATAATCAAAGAGAAAATCGGGGCTTCCATAATCGCGAGGGTGGAGGTCGTGGAGGGCGAAGAGGCCGAAACTTTATGAGGAACAATCGAAATAATAACTTTAGGAATCGAAATCGAGCAAATCGGGGTCATAATAATTCGTAAAATGAGTCGTGCCAAAAAAAAATCACTTTTTGTTCTTAATATAATACTTTAAGTACTTCATTCCCAATTATAATGAAAATATAATTAATTATATTTAATATAGAATTAAATTAAAAGTATATACAGGAGGTTCGATAAGAAATTGTGTGCAATATTTGCAACTTTATTTTGAATTAAGCACATTAAACGTCCTGTATATATGTGTACATATAAATATTAAACTTTAAAGTTATTTGACTTCTTCATTTTTGTTGTTGTTTATGAGTATAAAGAATTATAATGATTATTTTTTTATTTTTCACGAAGTTGATGAACTTATTTATTTTTACACTAATTATGTTTAGATTAATTTTCTTTTTTTTTTCCTTGTAGATTTTAGTTTTTAAATGTTGATAAGGAACTCGTAATACTCTCTTCATAGGACAAAAAAACGGTTAGTATTATTTATTTGTCGCCCATTATTGTACACCTGTACATAGGTACATACATAATTATTGTTAGTCGAATAAACAATCTAAGAGAAAAAATTTATTTACTATTTTAACTTAATCGTAATTTATCATAAATCCTAGTCCTTCAACTATAAGAAAAATGAATCCAGAACTATCCAGAATCCTAACTTGGTTACCTCCCTTATAATAAATGAAGAAATGTTCAAGAATTGATCGTGAATAGTGATGCAAGAAATTGTTCCACCAACAAGCGGATGAACACCCAGAATTACCATCCAATTAAAAACCAAGTAAGTTAATAATATAGCTTGTATATACATATATCTTATACAGGGTGTTCATTTCAAAACTTTCCACCTCAATTTCTGTAAATCCGGAAGTTTAAAAAGAAAATCGCTGAAATAGGTAAAGAATAAA